CGTTTTCTCCTTTTCTCGTTTTCTCCTTTTCTCGTTTTCTCCTTTTCCCCTTTTCCCCTTTTCCTCTTCTTTTCCTCTTTTCCTCTTTTCCTCTTTTCCTCTTTTCCTCTTCTTTTCCTCTTTTCCTCTTTTCCTCTTCTTTTCCTCTTTTCCTCTTTTCCTCTTCTTTTCCTCTTTTCCTCTTTTCCTCTTGTCTTTTTTTCCTTTTTTTTTCTTTTATCCTTTTTTTTCCCTTTTTCCCTTATTTCCTTTTTCCTTTTTCTTTTTTACCTTTTTTTGTTAAATTTTTATTACCATAATGGTAGGATATAGTACTGGAGGGGGAGGAGAATGGAGCCAAAGTTCTTAGAGAAGATAATCCTGACTCTTTAATCGTGTAGGCGTTAAATAAGAAACTATTATAACACAGACTAGTCCTGTGCCTCTTGACTGAGAAATCCCACCTGGAGCTTTTCTTTTCCTCCACTTTGGATAGTGCAGAATAATTTCTAAGCGCTAGGAGTAACTGAGCAGTGTAACACACACCCCCGTCCCATCCTTTGATCTGTTAAATGTGAACTTGGAGGATCCCTGCAGCATCCTTTGTTGCAGCATTAGCACTTGTGTATTGAGGCGATGGGCGCACTGAGAACACCTCAGCCGACTGCCAGTGGCACCTTGTAAGGGAAAAGGGAAGGGAAAGACCTTTGATCTTTGCCTGATGGAGGAGATCTTGTTTTAACGAGCTGTTTGTGTTAATACGATTAATGCAAGTACACTCCAGCGCTTGGCTAATGACTCTTTTGGCTCTCTTTATTTCTTTTGTCTTCTTTCCTTTCCTGTTTTCAAAAGGTGACAGGGGCCTTTTGGAAAGGTATTTGAAAGCCGACTTGTCTCCCCTGGCTGTGCCAGACCGCTGTCTGATTCAGTTTTGAATGCTCTGGGTATGGGAAAGTGCTAAAGGTGGCAACTGTTGTATGGGGGCTTTATTTAAACAGGCAAATTAGATAAAGGGCACTTGCCTGTTAGTTAGTCAGTTAATTCACTCGATTAACCGGGTCTGGTCCAAGCAGAAAGGGAGCTTTTTATCATTATTTTGTTGAAAGTGAAAATTCTCTTTTTGTAGGGAAAATGCCCCGTTTTGAGCAGCCGATCTCTGTGTTTTTGGTGATGCTCTCTGAGGCTGTCGTTAGCCCGGGAACCCCATCCCCGGGAGCCTGGTGGTTCTTGCTAGACTTTAGCTGTTGCTGGGTTCTTGCCTTGCCTTGGAGGGCTCAGACAGGTTATTTTACATCCCTGACTCCAGAGCTCAGCCCGCCGAGGCCTGGTGAATTATGCTGGCTATGCATGTGGCTTGGGGGCAAGGAGTTGGTTGTGTTATTCATGGGCGCTCCCTTCCAGCGTGCCAAGGAGCAAACTGGGTACTTGTCTGCAAAGGCAATTATTTCACAAGCAAGTTGCTGTAGGGAGCAGCAGGAGCCAACATGGTTAATAGAGAGAAAAGATTTCCCTTATCTTTTTTTTTTCTCTCAGCGTGTACGTCCCTCTTAAACCATTTCTCAGCCTGATCTTGCCTCTGAAATAGGTCTGGTGCTTCTGGCTAAGCTCAACTTGCCCCTGGTGTGAAATGTTACCTGAATCAGGTTGTTGCAGGCTGCCACAGCAGGTGAGGAGCAGGCAGCAGACCGTGTTCCCAGCCTTGGCTGGGTTTACATCCCACAGCAGGAAAAGCAGAGGGGAACGGGAATGTCCTAATGTGGAGTCTGAGGGTCAAATGACAGCTCCCAAAATCGCTCCCACGTGGGAGCACTGAGGGTCCCTTGCAGGCTGTGAGTGGTGTGTGCTGCCCCCGACTCATCCAAGCACTGGGGGCACTCGTGGGAAGGGGAGACTTTGCTGCATGAAGGTTGGACTTGGTGTTTCTCTTTTTGGAAGAGGAGAGTGCTTCTAGCTCGGATTTAATTTTTTTTTTTTAAAGGAGTTTGATGGAGCTGATAGCTGTGCTGTGGCAGAGGCTCCCACAGCAGTAACCAGCTTCACTTGTTATTGGCACAGGGGCAGGATTTGTCTCCAGGTGTTCTCCAGGCGACAGAGCTTTTTGCCTTGCAGAGGGTGCAAGCATCTTCTGATCAGCTGTTGCAGTTGTTGAGAATGTGCTCCCTGAGCTTTATGTTTAAACCCTGATATCTCCCAGGAGAGTTGGTCACCCCAAAACGCCTGCACAGGGTAGGGGAGCATCAAAACAATGTGATTTTTTTTTTCTTTCAAAGTAGGACCCTCTGCTTACCAGGCATCTGTGTTAAAACTTCTTCCTGTTACTTCAGGTACTGCTCTCCATTAAATAGCATACACATCTTGGGTACATTGCAGGAACTGTTGTGAAATAAGAGAGGGTCTGTTCAGGAAATATGACCTGTCTGACCTCCCTGTGTCCTCTTGTGCATTGGTGGGTGACAGCAACAGTGATGTCACCAATTGTGAACAATACCCACAGCCCAAAGCTGCTCTGGGTATTGTTCATCATCACTAATAAAGCAGTTTTTTAGAGACTGAAGGTTCTTTCACCCACCATTTGTGGCCCCTCTTTGTGGGCACAGTCAGACTGGGGAGAGGACACTTGTTTCCTCTTTTCAGTTTGATGCCCAGCAGGTCCCTCTGGGCTGTTGCAGAAGTGAGTGAGGTGCACGAGAAGGGCACAGCAATTAAGGGTCTTGACCTGGGAGGCTGCAGCTTGGACTGAGTAACACTTAACCCTCCACAGGGTCAGGCTGAAATGACCTGTAAACAACCCGGGGTGCTCATTACACCTGCCAGGACCGGGCCTGTTACATCATTTAAAATGGTGCACCGGGAGTTTTTGGCATCTGCTGGAGCTGAGTGAGCACAGTGATGGAGTTGTCAAATCTGTATTTTGAGGACAGGGAGGCTTTTGTTGGGCCTGCCTGCCTACAGCAGGCAGCTTGCTCCCCTGAATGGTGGCTCCCAGGGATTCCTCTCCCAGCGCCTGGGTCGGTGCATGGCTGCTGGAGCAATGCTGTCCGTGCTCTCTCCTGATTAACTCAGCCTTATGACTCACAAAAAGTTAATGACTTTAGCCCAAGGACTTACAACAGTGGTAAATGTGGGCTCTGCATGTATTGTCCTCGTTCTTAACAGCACAGCATAAACATCAAAGCGGGGAGATGGGCTTTGTGCTCGGGATATTTGCACTGTGGAAGTGTGTGCCTCGCCTGTTTTTCGTCCTTTAGAAGCATAAAACCAAAGTTAGTAAATGTGGAAATACAGCTGGAGTGCAGGCTGGTGAGGTGTAGCATGGTTCAGTCAAGTGGGTTATAATAAATGTTTTGTGCGCGTTTGGCGGGAGGAAAAACATTTACTTCACCTTCACCTTCCCTTCTCCTACCCAGGGAGCGCATGGAGTTACTGGAAGAAGCCAGGAAGATGGAAATGGCAAAGTTTCGCTACATCCTCCCTGTTTATGGCATCTGTAAAGAGCCAGTTGGCTTGGTCATGGAATACATGGAAACGGGGTCTCTGGAAAAGCTCCTGGCTTCTGAACCTCTGCCCTGGGAACTGCGCTTCCGCATCATCCACGAGACAGCCGTGGGGATGAACTTCCTGCACTGCATGTCCCCTCCACTGCTCCACCTGGACCTCAAGCCTGCAAACATCCTGCTTGATGCCCACTACCATGTCAAGGTATGCACTGGACAGTCTGTGCCAGGGACCCACCTTTGGATATTCCTGCGTGGCTCCTGCCAGGTGCAAAAAGCCTGGGAAAAGCCAGCAGCATTCATTTTGAATTGGAAAATGCCCACTGAGACAACTCTGCCAATCTCCAGATTTAAATCCTGAGATTAGCTCAGTTGTTTAGATCATGGTGCTAATAACACCAAGGTTCTGGGTTGTATTCCTGTCTGGTCCATTCACTTAAGAGTGGGACTTGATGACCCTTGTGGGTCCCTTCCAACTCAGAATACTCTGTGAAAATATACCCAAATAAAACCCAAAACTAAATCCACCTGATTATGCACCATTTTGGTACATAAACAGAAGTACAGTTAGCAAAGTTGTGAGAACTCCCCTGAAATTTTAGAAGGATGCAATGTGAACTCTGGGTTTGAGACCTAATGGGTCCTGCTATAAATTTTCCCTCAGTAGGGCCATGAGGCAGATGAGAACAAGGAGAGAAAAGCAGTGTGAACCTCTAAATCATCTCTGCCACTTGCACAGCTCCCAGTGGTTGCCTTGGTCTGTCTGGGTCTTCCTGGCTTTGTAGGCACCACTAAATAGGCAAATCTCATTTACAGCTGGAGTCTGGAGAAGCCTTCCCAGAGGCAACTCATTTTCCCCTTTCATTTGCTCAGAGCATGTACAGTGAAGGAGTATCTCTGTCCTGACCGTTCGTGTCTGCCAGAGGTCACTTAAAGGAACTTCTTGTGGCTGTAACAGCATGAAATTCTTTTTGTTATCCATTTCCAGAGTAAGCCAGCAAACTTGTTAGCCTTCTCTGTTGGAGGTTCTGTTTTGACAGCTGGACCAAGGAGGCTGTGCTTGCTTTCTCATCTTTCCTTTTGGAGAGGAAAAAGACTGAAATACAGCTTTTTCCTGTTTTTTTTTAGGGCCTGGTTTTTTGTTTTTGTTTGTTGTTTGTGTGTTTAGCAGTGCCATAATCCATCTGCTCCTTGTTTTCCTGCTCCCCTCACTGGTCAAGTGGCTTTGGTCTGGCTGTACCCTTCTGAAAATGAAGTTTTCGTTGAATAAAGACATCTCTCCTGATGTCATGAGAGGGTTGGAGCCATGAGAGGAGTGAGCCTCTAATCACACCTGTGACAATCTCAGCTTTTTTTACTGGGCCTCTGAGTGCTTTACTTCATAGAAGAATTTTCTTCCTGAGGCAGGAGGCATCTACAGGTGGCCATGCTATTAATACAGGAACATCAGGATCTGAACTGCTGAAAGCCTGTTCTCACACACTGGTGCTGAGAGGCCTGTGCTAGGTATTTATTTACTTAAAGTTCATGCTTGCTTGCATAACTTCTTAAATTCCTAATTCCTGACTCATCCATGAGCCAAGATATGAAGGCTGTATTTTTCTCACTGTTTCAGGAGGTTGAAATGCCTGATATTCTGCCTGCTGTACAGCCTATATCTGGGTGGTGATGTAATACAAGGGGGCAAAGTGCAAAATGTACAAAAACTAAAAAAGTTTCTGGTGAGGTCATTGCTGACATCCCTAAGCTGTTGCTACTCACTCTGTCTATGAAACACATGTAGGTCTTCAGACCCTTCCCATTAAGTTCAGAAAAGAATGGCCTAATCCAAACCTTTTCCAGCCAGCAGTCCTTTACATCTGCAGGCATCTTGGGAGCCCCTCCAAGCAGCAAAGCAGACCTAGGAACCTATATGCAAAACAAGAGATGAACGTGTTCTGTGAGGCGCCTTCACTTTAAAAGTGTGGCCCCAAACCTTCTTTTTGTGTGATGTGAAACTCATAATTAAATTTCAGACCCTGCAGCTTGATTTAATGTGCATTTTCTTGCTGGAAGGCTACTGGAGCTGCTGATTGAGGTGTTTTTTTTAAATGTTGGCATTAATTTAGTAGGTGACCTGTCCTTAACAGAATCCTAAGGTGAGTGAAGAGATGTTGCACACTGCAAAAGAAGAGTTTGGAGGTAGGGAGGACTTTTATAAACTGTTTGCCCTTGAGCCAGGAAACAGCCAGCCTTGCAGTGGAGCACATTAGAAATGCTGCTGTGCCATACTCGAGTTAAATGGCAACACACCCTCCTTCTTTTACGAGGACAGTGCTCACTGTAAAGCCCCGAGTGAGGCTGATGACTAACACAGTGCTGTTCTACAGAACTTATCATCAAGTGGGTGCCTCCATATCATAAAGCCTCTGTCTTACATAAGTGTGTGCTGAATTTTGTCCTTGGGAGGGTAATTAAGAGGATGGGATTAGCCTGAGCAGGGATATAGATGGAGAGATATTAACATTACCAAAGGCTCGTTGGGGGATTCCTTGGTGGTTTAAAGTGTATGGGTATAATACGTGCAACACAAGGTGAAGCTTTGCTGTTTTTTGGAGGATGGATTCATGCATATCCTCCCTTGTGAGCTGGTGGTGGGACCTCCCTCCCCTACCATTTCTTGCTCCATCTTGGTTGCCTTAAGCAGTGTGGTTTCCTTGGGAGGATTATCCCATACCCAGGCAGGCTTTGTTAGCAGGGATCAACCTGCATTTTATCTTTTCCTTACTATCAACCTCTTGCTTCTATTTGTACCAGGATCCTTCCTGCCCCTTTCTCCAGTGCATATATGCAGCCTTCCAGTATTTACAGGCTGTTCAATACCTATTTTTTGCTTAACTCCCCCACGTCTTATGAGCTGCTTCTTCATCTCTCCTGCCCTCCGTGTACATTGTGGATTGTCTCCCCTGAGCTGCCTGCGATGTGGCAATCGCTGGCACAGGGGAAGCAATGCCACATTCCAGCACTGCCCTCGTGGGCTGTGGGTTTGCTGTGATCCCTGCTTGTATGTGATCTCTGTCCAGGGGCCCTTTGCAGGAGACTAAACACCCCACCACGTGCGGAAATCTCATACCCTGACTCGTTGCCCGCTGCCCGTGCCCTCGTGCTCTCTCTCTCTCTGCTGCTTCCCAGGTTTCTTATCTTCAATACCTCATGGTCAAGAGTGTTGGTTTTTGCTCAGGTATTTAAAATGAAGTCAACCTGCAGCTTAATACTTCAGGTCAAAAGCCTTATTTTTAAGTTCTTGCTTCTCTTGCTATCCAGCCTGATTTTTTTGCAGCTCCTCATCTTATCCTATATATATGTACACACACACAGACAGACACATGTGTATATGTGTGGTTCATGCACACACAGAGGCAACCCCAACCAGTTATTTTTCATCTCCCAGATTTTGCTTTTAAAGAACTTGAAGCAGAATGAGCTGCCCTCAGCTGTGCACTGCTGTGAGCTCACTGTAGTTGTTTTTATCCCCTCCCCAGTTCTCCAGTTTAAACCAGTGTGGAGAGTGAAGTTTGCTGCTGTGTTGTACCGTGCATTGATGGTCTTGCTAAACGTGGGTAGTAGAATTGGTCTTCACTTTTACTTGATTCAGCTGAAGAAGAGGCTGCAGAATTTCTGAGCATGGATTTAGAGGCAGCCTAGTCAGATGGCAAATTTCTTGATCAGAAATCTTCTTTGGTTAAGTTTAGGTCCAAGTGATACCCAGAGGCCAGGCTGGTGAAGAGCAGCTGTCTCTCTTTATTAGAATACCTGGTGTAGTTACCACAGCCACTTTTTTATCAGCTGCAATTGCTCTCCTGTTATTAGAAATGAGGAGAATCTTTATTTTGTGTGTCCCTTCTGGCTGTTTCCCACCCTTCCTGATCAGGGTTTCCATGCAGGGCTGTTGTTGTATGGCTCTTTAATCCCAACCAACAAAGCTGGTTTGCACCTTGATCGATTCTCTGATTGATCTAATTGTGGTGGCACAGGGGAGGGAACAAAACCGCCCCTGTTACAGTAATGCAGATTTATGATGGATTAAAATGGATGTTTGGCTTTGGTTTGTGCTGCTTCTGAAGAGAAGCATTACAATTGTCCCACCTGAAATGGGTTTTGAGGAGTTAAGGTTTCAGGGCAGACTGGAAAAGGGTGGAAATATAGCCTGTTTCAGAAAGACTTCTTTTCATAGCTAACTGAAGTGTGTTCATAAACACTGAAGTAATGACACAGGTTTGAAGTGCAGATGCTGGTTGTGTCTATACCTGGAGTTAATTTTTAATCACAATTTTTAGTAGTCCAAACGTGTGCATATTTCTTAAAAATTTCTGTTTTTCTTAAAGAACAAAACTGAAACAAAGAGCCTTTCTCCCCTACACCCCAGAAAAACCAACCAAACAAAGCAACCCTCCCACCCCCAGACATCTGAAAACCCTGTAGACAAATGTGGTGGCATTCTCAACATCCAGGTGCACAACAGACTTTGGACAGAGATAAATACTGGATGTGCCAGCAAGCGATTAAAAATTAATCTGATGGATTTGTTACCTATTTGATGAAGGAAACCTTTTGTTGAACTCTGTCCCTGACTCCGTGGCAATGGGTTCTTGAGTCTTACTTGCAGGAAAATGCCATGCAGCATCAGGAGCTAAGGGCACAGTTCAGGATGGCCTGTCAGGAGTCATTCGTTAAAGAAAACACTTTCCAAGCACTGATTTCCAAGCTAGATCCCTGCAGTGTTTGGGAATAGCTGACTGTAGTTATGTGAGCATATCTTCTAGTTTAAAAAAAAAAAAATTACAAAAAATAGTTTAACAAACCCAAACCATCTGAAACTTTGCAAGGGAGTGTTTTTCTACAAACCAGAATGGAAAAAAAAAATCCACAAACGACAGAGGCAGAGAAAGGCCAGTGTGCACGGTGTGCTCGAGTTAAAACAAACTAAACTTAAAAAAAAAAAAAAGAAAGAAACCCAAATCTTCAGGTCTTGGGATCTCTCGGTAAAGTCAGTGTTGCTGGGAAGGAAGGAAAACACGTGCAGCTCCCCTCCCCAGCCGGTGCTCACGTGTTTGTTCTCATGCAGACCTTTAAGGAGCGGAGCTGCCTGAACATGAACCATCCCACTGTCTGCGTGGGCTCTGGCCAAGGTTTCCTTTTCTCTTCTTCCTACCCCTTCACCGCGGGTTTTGCATGAAGCCTCTGTCGCCTCCGTGTCTCCTCTCAGCTCTGCTGATACCAGGGGTGCTTTTGAAGCACGGTGGGACCCACCTGGAATAAAAATAACCGGTGCGAGGAGCGGGATTGCGGGTTCGCAGGGCAGATCCCGGGGTGGGCTGCAGGGATAGTGGGGATGCAGAGGAGGGAGTGGGGAGGGCTGCTCCACTTTCACTCCCTGCACCAGCAAGGATGCCTTGTGTTGCAGAACGAGGTACCTGGCAAGCAGTTTAAAGGCAAAATAGGTAAGTTAAGTGGCTGTATCTTCCACCCACTGTGCAGTTCCCACTGGTGTTTAAAGAAACTGCATAACTAAACACACTGTGCAGTTGTGGAAAATTTACCCTAAAGGAACTAATAAAAGCCACAAAAAGCTGTCTGCAGAATCTTGCTATGTTGTCGCAGCCTGCAAGATAACAACTCTCCAACCAGTGCTTTGCTTTCTGCAGGGTTTGGTATGATCGAAGCCCTGCTCTACAGGTGAATTTCCTATTAATTGGTATAAAACCCAGTCCTTCACAGTAGGTAGGGGCAGCTCCACAAGGTGAAGTTTTTGCTAGGCTAGGGGGGATATTCTATGTACTTTAGCTGTTTCTTAGTTTGTAGGGTGACTGAGACTTTTTCTATCTAAAGTGCTTAGCTCCTGCCTTAGCCCCCAGCCTTAGATTCCCACATGGCTGGTGGCTCTGAACGCAGGAGTGTCACCGTGCTGCCTGCATTTCATCTTTATTTCTTAACTGACACAGGAGGAAACGCTGTGCATTGTTTAGACAAAGAGGAAGGTGAATGGCTGTAATTATGCCTGGATTTCTTGAGGTGTATCCAAGCCTCTGCTCCGCGTTAATCAAAGGACAGCGGCGCTTCTCCGAGTTGGATCCGTTCAGACTTGCAGCGTTCGGTTCATTCCTTACCCTGACACCACGGGGCTTGTGGGATGTTGGGGCTGTGCTTTTGTTCTCCTGTGGAGCACTAAGTGCCCCAAACTCACGCAGCACTTCCCGGGGTGGTCAATTCAGCTCTTCCCAGAGTTAAGCTGGATCACAAACCCGGGTTTCTTGACTCCTTGCTGCTTTCCTGAACTCCACTGCTTGGCTTGTTGAGGAGTCCAGCAATCCCCCGCTGAGACTGTGACCCCACAAGCAACTATTCCTCCAGCTGACGACACTTTTTTCTCTTTTTCCCCCTTTTTTTTCCCTTTCATTTTTTTTTTCTCCAGTCATTCCCACATTACCCTGCAGATTTAAGACACAGATGGACAGCAGGTTGGGTATACCTGTGTGCTAGGGGACAGGACTTCTCCATCTCCTGAGAATGCCTCTGTTGAGCTCTCTGTCCATGGGAGAGGTTCTTCCTGAAGCTGTGTGGGTTGCTTTGTTTGTTTTATGGCAAAGGGAGATTCCTAGCATGGCTGTGTAACCTGCCTGTTCTCCAGGAGGCTGAAGCTGGCAGCAGTTTTCTCCCTTTCCAGTAATGGACACATGTTACAACTAGTTTTGTGGTATCTTTAGAGAGAAGCTTCTGAAAGTGTAAAGTCGCAGCCTATTTAAAAGAAAAAAAAAAAAAAGCTTTTTTTAATTATGCTTGTTGTTTTGAGGGAGAACTTTCTCAAAGGAGAAGCTGTGAAGATCAAAAGGGGAATGAGTCACTGAAAGACCTGAGTATTTATTAGATAAAAAGCATGTATAAGTCGGGGTGAGGGGGAATCTTACCTAACATGGAGGCAAAAATCAGTGGGCTGAGTGGTCCAAAAAGACTTGACTTTCCTTGAAATTTCCACTCAACATAATAGACATTTTTTTTGTCCAGTGGGAAATAACTAAGACAAAGGAAATTCCTTGCCTATCTGTTTGCTCAACGATTGGCATGCCCTTGAGAGCAAATGAATGCATATTTGTTTGACACTTCAAATTAAAGTGGAGGTGTGTCCTTTTTATATAAACTTGCTGTCACTTGTTTTGTTCATTTCAGCTGCGTTCGCTGCGTCACTGCTCCAACTTGCTGCATCTCCTGGTTGCCAGAAAGAATTCCCTGTGTGGATTTTGGATGTGTGTGTGTGTGTGTGTGTGTGTGTGTGTGTTTTCATCTGGGTTTTTTTTTTAAACATTTGGTGGCTCTGGTGTTGGGTTTGGTCCTTATTGGCATGGTCAGTGGTATCTGAAAGGGCAGTTCTCTAGAGCTCACTGGGTGTTTAAACACAGCACACAACGTGAGGTTACGTAGGGAAAGGGGGTGGCAGGACCAATAATTACATTAAAGTAGTTTGCACTAGCTAAATTTGACTGGGTTTAAATTACAATAAATTGTCTTGACTGTTTGTTGTGTTTGCTATGTAATGGGCTGACATGCTGCTGCTTGCAAAAACTGCTTGCCTTTATTTTATTTGCTTCTTTTAGCTTAACCATCAAGAAAAACCTACCATGGCATTACGCTTCCAGAGATGTTTTCTTGGCTTAATATTTCTGAACAGCAGCTCACTGTGTTTGTTGGGTCATCCTGTTACAGTTCTTTGCTGAAAATTTTTTGTGAACATCTTGAAAAATCTAATGGTACCCTGTACTTTTCTTCCCCTCTCCCCTCCTCCTTTTTTTTTTTTTTTCCTGCAGATTTCTGACTTTGGACTTGCAAAGTGCAATGGCTTGTCCCATTCCCATGACATCAGCATGGATGGCTTGTGTGGCACAATTGCCTACCTTCCTCCAGAGCGCATCAAAGAGAAAAACAGGTGTTTTGACACCAAACATGATGTGTACAGGTCAGTTAACTACGAAAACACTTAAAAGCACTGTTAGTAATGCTGTAAAATGAGCCCTCTTTTTCTGGTTATAAAACCTAATGAAGTGTGAAACCCCTAAATCTAGTTAGAGCCTCACGTTGCAACGTGTCACGTTTGCTTTGCTTTTTGCAAAGCCTTTACAGGGTAGAGGCCTTTGAAAAAAACTGCATCTGATCCTTGGTCTTGCAGTTATTTATTAGCAACTGGCATGGGAGGCACTCTGCCCACCTTTAATGTCCCATCTAAAGGTACATCTTGACCTACTTCTTGAGTCTGTGACAGAATTCTTAGTTATCTTCAGTGGATTTCATCACTAAGGTCTTTGGCTGTTCTTTCATGGCAAGATGATTAGAAAAAGGAAATCAGAGCTGTAGATTAAAGAGATATGTCTTATTCTAAATGGAATGTATTTCTTTAAAGTCATCTCACAGGGGAGAAGCATTAAATTAAATCCACTGTAATGCTCTGGTGCTCTCTGATTTTGTCAGTGTTGATGTGGGGTGGTTGGTAAATGCTACCAAGAACTTGGCAGCCTCCAGCAAGTCCCTCTGTTTGCTGCCTCAGGTTCCTCCCTGCAAAAGCTTGACTTTGAAGTCATGGTTCTTGGCTGCATCTTGCTGTGTGTGTTCAGCTGAATTAGATGCAGAAGTGGAGGGACAAAGAAAATAACCTAGGAACTTAAAAAAATAAATTATACTTCTGTGGGTTTTTTGGCTTTGTTTAAAAAATAAAATTAAAAACCTGCTATTTTTTAGAAATAATTTTTTTGCCCTTTTTTTTTTTTTTGGCAGCTTTTCCATTGTGGTTTGGGGAGTTCTCACACAAAAGAAGCCTTTTGCAGGTAAGTTGTGGGTTTGTCTTGGAATTTTTTTTCCATTTTCCCATTGATAAGCACGCTTCCTGCCCCACCAGCCCCAGATTATGTGCATGACCTCCAAAGTCCTGCACACCTGCGTGGTAAACCCTTTTAAGTTCTCCAGTACTGATCACAAATATAAGTCCTCCTGTGTCCTGCTCATGAAAACAGAGCCCATATTGCTGCAGGGGCCCTTGTCTGACCCTTTTTGCTCCTGCACAAAGCTCCATGTTGGTGTGTGGCCTGCTCAGACTTCTGATACGCTGGCAAAGCCAACCTGGCAGGCAGCTCTGCTGTTTTCTCTCTGTAGAGAGGTTCTGTAGTTTATTTGTAGATTGTGGGTACAGATTTGTTCCTTTCAAAAAAAAAAAAAAAAGGCAAGCTGTCTGTGAGAATAAGCCTTGTTCCACCCCGCAGTAGATGCACCTCTCAACAGGCAGCTATTTATTCTTTATGACTTTTCCTGTGTCTATGACTGCTCTATGTATAGCAGACATGTCTGAACAAGTTCCAGTCTACTATTAGTTTTTCCTCCCTGTGAGAGATTCCGTTTGGCCCAATGGTTGATTCACAGTCAGGGGCCACATTACTGCACTTCTTGATTTGTGTTCTTCCTTCACCTCTATGAACAGTTCAGGTACTTGGCCTAAATAAAACTTAGGATTCAATTTTCTCGCAGCAGATATGGAAATACAAAGAGAGGTAGCAAAGAAATGTTTGAGGTTTTTTCCTCTGGTTCTGTGTCTTTTTTTTTTGGGTGGAGAAAGAGCACAGTTCCTCATGGACAATTGTTTTTAACTGATACATGGGGAACAGGTGTTACTGCATTGAAAAATGTATCGTGGGAGAAAACAACCATCTTTTTTCCCCCTATTGATAAGAACTCTGGAAAAAAAATGCATGAAAACAAAATTTCAGCACTGTTAATGCTCTTTAGACAAAAGAGAAATGATTCCTTTTGCTGGGAGATCTTAATTTGTGTTGCCTTTGCTTTACAGAGGAAAACAACATTTTACATATTATGGTAAAAGTAGTTAAAGGCCACCGCCCAGAGCTACCTGCTGTTTCCAAATCCAGACCTCATTCATGTAATAACTTGATCAAACTGATGCAAAAATGTTGGCAAGATGATCCTGGTGAACGGCCAACATTTCAAGGTAAGATTTCCTCGTAACTTGGCTCCCCATTTATTCTTCTGTGAGTCACGTTATTGCTCAGGACTCTGCTAATCCTTGGGGTAAACGCTGTGAACCTCTGTGACAGAATAAATAGAGCTGATACAGGCCACTTACTCATTTGTGGAGGAAGGGATTATCTGAGGACATGTCTGACCATGATGGTGTTATGTAAACGGGTCGGGAACAAGCCTGGTACTGAACCAGTCGATCCATTTAGCCAGAAATTGTGTTCGTTTCTGATTGTGTGTGTTGGGGCAGAGGGCAAGCTGGAGTTGGTGTGGTTTTCACCGTACCAAAGCACTGAAAGCCCTGGCTCTTGAAATTTGCTCTTGTGTGTTGAGAAACTGGATTATTTTCTCATAACGAAACAATTTGTACCATCATTTTTCTTCAGTAAGAGGCAACTCTGGTGAAAGGCTTGAACTTGTCCAAAGCACCTGTTAGGAATTCAAATGTGCAGAAGGATGTAGCAAGTGCTTCCACCATTTAGCATTAATGGGAGAGATTTGCCTCTTCCCTCTCCTTCTGCTCAAACAAGGAATAGGGACTGAAGGGACCCCATATTTTTAATAAACATGTCGAAGTCTGCCAGCAGTACATTGGTTCTCATTTCACAGTCAGTCCTGCAGTGTAGCCACTGTGTAACACCAGTCTGCTTTGAATGTAAAAATGAATTGTTTGGGCAGCCCTGTGCACATTTTGCTTTGCTGCACACTTGTGCCCATGGATGAGGTGTTAGATGGAATAGTCAGAATTGGAGTCTTTCTCCCACAGTACCTCAAAGCTGTTAAGTTCTATTGCCAGAGAGAGGCAGCAGGGCATCTCAGAAAGTCTCCTGTAAGAAAACCCTAAAACCTTCTCTTACTTTCTTCAAAGAAATCACTTCACAAACAGAGGCCCTCTGTGAAAAACCAGAAGATGAAACAAAAGAGATGATAACTCAGGACCTGGACACCAAGAATTCCCCGGAGCAGCAGCCTGAGGTATTTTCTCTTTCACTTCTTGTTCAAACATGATGGATTTTGTGAGGAACAGTTTCCTCTGGTACCTGTAACGTCCCAAGCAACCTTCTCTTTGCTGCTTTTGAGCACTGCCTTGCCTGATAGAAGTGGGTCTTGGTGAAGGACTGGAATGCCAAAATGACAGCAGGAGCATGGAACGAGCTCAGGAAAACCTCAGTGCAGCACCAAATGCAAGTGGATCTTACTCTGTTGAGGGAGAGCAAGACAGGAAACAAAAGCTGGAATGATGCGGGTGTGACTGATCTTAAAAACCACTGTAGACAGAAGAGCCACATGGCTTTACTGGCTGTGTGAGTACTGATGGAAGCTGCCCTCCTGCTTCTGAAAAATTTCAGCGACCTGGTTCATAGGTTTCATTTAATACAAACAGTCTTTAAAGGCTACCTGCAAATTAACAAATTTATGTTTCTTCTGTAGGGCCTCGTGCTCAGTTTTCTTTGCTGACCATTCTAAAATGCTTGTGTGCTTCTCTTGAAGGGGATTTGTGCACTGTCCCAGAAGAAACAGGAGCCTGCTCTACCATCAGTTAAGGATTACAGTCTCTCAGAGTTACTATCCCAGTTGGATTCAGGGATTTCACAGACTATGGAAGGCCCTGAGGATCTCAGCCGCAGCTCTTCGGAGTCCAAACTTGCCTCCAGTGACAAGCGGCTTTCAGGAGTTTCATCTGTAGATTCAGCTTTTTCATCCAGAGGCTCCCTTTCCCTTTCCTTTGAAAGGGAGAGTTCAGGTAATGGTCAAGTTTTTCTTTGTAGTTGTTTGGACTGGGGCATGGGAGTCAATGGGTTGGAGAGTAGTCATGTAAAGAATAACATTCTGGAAATTACTGTTAGCCTTGCTTTCTCTTGCTGTCAGCGCTACAAATTTGTTTACTGGAGGTAGTTATTTAAAAGAAAAAAATAAATATAAATAAAAAAAATTATGTGGTTCCCAAATGTGATCTAATGAGAAATAATAAATCTCATTTGCTCTTTGAAAAGGAGTGACCTGAACTCCCATCAAAGCAGTTGTAGAATCAGTCATGTAGAGGTTGGTTTGGAAGGGAGGTCACATAGTCCAGCGTCCCGCTTGAAGTGGGATTAAAGCCAATGCCCAGTCAGCTCAGCTGAGTTTGTGGCTTTTTCAGTTATACCAAGCCTAAATCTGAGCACCTTTGTTTTTGGAGAAGACGCAAGCCACCATCTCAGCAGCCCCTGTGAACAATGTAATAAAGCCCCCCTCACTTTTCAGTCCAGTGCTGCAAAACCCAGACATCTATTTTCCAGTTGATTAGCACAGGGAGATCAACCACAGCATCCTCTGGTCTTCATGTCACCAGAAACAGAGTTAGTGGGGTTCCAAATTTGACCTGAAATTGTTCTGGGACAGTTGTGAGACAGAAGGGTGGATTGGTTTGCAGTCAACTCATTGCTGAAGCCAGCACATCTGTTAGCCATGGGCTGGTAAAGTTTGATGGGTATCAGAAATGTGATGGTGTCTTTTCCATGGAATTATAGGACAGTTTGGGTTAGAATGGACCTTTAAAGGTCATCTAGTACAACCTTCTTGCAATGAGCAGGGACGTCTTCAATTAGATCAAGTTGAATGTTTCCATGGATGGGGCATCTATCACCTCTCTGGGCAACCTGCTGTTCCAGTGTTTCACCACCCTCATTGTAAAAATTTTCTTCCTTATATCCATTTAGATATTGGTACTACAGACATACAGAAGAGGAAGCTAACAGAGGCAATTCTGTCTGGAGATACCAGCAAGCTGATGAAGATCCTCCAGCCTCAAGATGTTGATATTGTTTTAGATGGGAACTCCAGCCTTTTGCACTTGGCTGTTGAAGCTGGTCAAGAAGAATGCGTCAAGTGGCTCCTCCTGTACAACGCAAACCCTAACCTCACCAACAAGAAAGGATCCACCCCTCTTCACATAGCCATCGAGAAGAAAGTTAAAAGCATCGTGGAGCTGATTATGGCCAGGAAAATCAACGTTAATGCCAAAGATGAGGACCAGTGGACTGCCCTTCACTTTGCTGCCCAAAACGGGGATGATTTCAGCACCAAAATGCTGCTTGATAAGAATGCCTCCCTAAACGAGGTCGACTTTGAAGGCAGAGCCCCCATCCACATAGCCTGTCAGTACGGCCAGGAGAACATCGTGCGGATCCTGCTGAGGAGAGGCGTCAACGTGAACATCAAGGGGAAGGACGACTGGGTGCCACTGCACTACGCTGCCTGGCAGGGCCACCTCCCCATCGTGAAGCTCCTGGCCAAGCAGCGGGGAGCGGACGTGAACGTGCAGACCGTGGACGGGAGGACCTCGCTGCACTTGGCCGCCCAGCGAGGGCACTACCGCGTCGCCCGGCTCCTCATAGACCTGGAGTCGGATGTCAACGTCCAGAACGCCCTCCTGCAGACTGCCCTGCACATAGCTGCTGAAACCGGCCACACCAGCACCTCCAGGCTGCTCCTGAAGCACGGCGCAGACATGGAGGCAGCCACGGCAGAGGGATACACGGCTCTGCACTTGGCGTCGCGCAGCGGCCACTTGGCCACAACAAAGCTGCTGATGGAGGAGAGGGCCAGCGTTCTGGCCAGGGGCCCGTTAGACAGGACAGCGTTACATCTGGCCGCGGAAAACGGGCACTCTGAGGTAGTGGAAGAACTTGTCAGCGCAGAAAATATCAACTTGCCTGACAGCGAAGGGTTCACGGCTCTTCACCTGGCTGCGCGAGGAGGGCACGCGAAAACAGTCGAGGTTCTCCTGAAGCACGGGGCGCACACTGACATGCCGAGGCCCAAGTGTCACACCCCGCTGCCCCTCGCTCGGCAGAGCAGCAATAGCTCACTGACTGTGTTGTTGAGTGACACTTAAGCCGAAGGTGCCAGACGTGATGCTTTTGTTCGTGGTGTGAGGAGGCTGCTGGAGCTCAGCTCCTCAGGGCCTCCTGCAGCTGTGCAGTGACCCCACCAGCGGTGTCAGTGATGGACTGAGGTGCAGCCAGCAGAAGTTTGAATGTGTGATGAGACTGCACGTGGATGTAAGGCCCCGAGCTGGAGTCTGCCACGCCGTGGTCTGTGTCGTTCATTCTGCACATGCCCTGCCCTGGCTGGATCTGGACATTCCCCTCCTGAGAATGTTGTGAGAGAAGGATGTGACTTGTGGGTTTCCCCTGCTTTTTTTTTTTTTTTTTTTTTTTAATGTGCCAAACTAATTTAAGAACTAACATTATGCTTTTTTATTTTCCTCAAAACAAGAACAAAAAAAAAAAAGATGGCATAGGTTTCTGGTTTACTGCAGTGATCCGTATTTTGGGCTGAACGCCTCCAGTGTAGAATAAATAAAACGCCAATCTGCTTGAAGTTAACGCAAGAGATGAGGAAAGAGCTATTTAAGATAATCATGTTTCTGGTCCTTTTTTTAATGGAGACATTGATTACAGATTTCCACGTACTGCAGACTTAATAGCAATGCAGGATTCCAAAAATAATAAGCAGAAGTAAAAGCTTAACACTGGTGTCTTCATATACAGTACCACCTTGTGTGTATTCTAAAATCAGTAAGCTGAACTAAGTGCTTAGTGGTTTGTCTTAAATAAACAAGTCAAAAGCTAAAATTCATACTGGACTGGAACTGGATGGTATATTCTAACACTGTTGTACCAATTTACAAAACAACATTTGGAGGGGCTGATGACCAGACTGATATACTGTGTATATAGGATTTCTACCTGTTGTATGCTTTTTTCTACTGAAGAAAATAGATTGCTTAGAGTGGGTATGTTTTAATACACCTTTTAATTTCACTCTTTTCAAAGTACAAATGTGATCTGTTATTAATAAAAGATTGTGTTCTATATCTGTCTGTATTTTGTAGTTGTTAAAGCGACTGAAAACCCATTGAGCAGCAGCAGCACACAACTGTCATGTGTTTATTGATCATGGAATCATAGCATGGCCCAGGTTGGGAGAGACCTTTAAAGATCATCCAGTTCCAACCCCCTTGCCATGGGCAGGGACACCTTCCACTAGACCAGGTTGCTCAGAGCTCTGTCTTGAGTTTTAAGACAGTTCACCGACTGCAAGTAGATGGTGAAGCCACGCTCGTGCCAATACATGGAGGTTACAAAGCAATACCCCTGTTAGCAGAGCACGGCAGTCCCAGCAAGCTCCTCAAGCTGCTGACAGTGAAGCTTCTCATTAAACAAACAAAACTGTTATTTTTCCTACTACTTCCTTCAGTGTCTTTTGAGACCAGTAAGTTGGTCATGTTTCATTGAGCTGTGCTTAATCAGTCTCTCATTATAGCAAATGCAACCGCAGACCACTTGGTCTCTTAGCACTGTGCTTAAACCCTTGGCCTGGTCTAGCACACACCATTCCCTTCTATTTGAGAGTACCCTGAACAGTGAGATTTGAGATACTTTAATTTCAGTATCTGTCTGAACTGCAAAAGAGCTCTAAGACCAGGGAACAGCAGTCTTGCACCTCGTAATAAAGGTGGTTCACACCAGCGAGGCAAGGGGAAAGTACACTTATAAAATGCTTTTAAAAGAGCTCAAACTCTGCTTTGCTAGTACATTCCTTCAGTGCCTAATAATAATAGCACATTAGCTTCTAATTAAACATGAGGCCACACTCATGAGTCTTTGTTTCCATGCTGTCTTTCACAATAACAGGCACCAGATATGCATGACATAGAAGGCAACACAGCTGGCACTGGACACAAAAAACAACCAAGGGGTTGCAATGACATGCTGCCACTGTTGGAGTGGGTATTTGTCCCTGTGAACCAGCCTTCCTTGGGGGCAGGAGAGGTGAATGGGGCTGCTAAATTAGCACTAATGCAGCAATTAGGAATTGCTGTTTTGTAAAGGTCTCCTACGGGTGACTTTTCTGGTTAATTGTGCATCTTTTGACTTTGTTCAAATCCTAACTGCGCTGTTGACCTGAAGTTTACAGGCATTTCTTTGTCTCTTTCCAATCTTAGGTGTGTTCTGTAGAACACCCTGCAGGCTTGGGAGGTGGGTTTGGGAGGTGGTGTGACTGCATGGAGGGCTCCATGGAGCTGAGCCTTGCTCCAGGTCCCCTGCGCTGCCTAACTGCTCCCTGGCATCAGACAGGGCTGGAAGATGAATATCAGCACCTCTTGCTCACCTCCAAAATCAGGCAGGGACTGCTTGCAGGGCTTCTGTGTACACTGTGCCAATCTGCTTCCTTAGGGCTTCTGACCACGGCCCCGGGTGGCTCTTTCAGCCAAAGGAGCAAAAAATGTCAGAGAATAAGAGACAGTGAAATGACTCTAGTGACCATAAGCTTCATCTTTTTGTCTCTGGACATGATTTTTCAGCCTGGCCTCTGCCCACACACCCGTGGCAGCACAGTCTGGGTTCCTGCCAGCACCCGCTGGTGCCGGCTCCCCGTGCAGGAGCCCCAGCAACGAGGAAGGTGCCTCGCACCATCCCCATTCCTCACTCCTCCATCCCAGCCTCTGCCTCCGGGGGATAGCACAGCCCCTGATGCATTACCTGTCTCTGCAGCAGTTTGTTCCCAGCGCCAGGCAGCTTTTATTTACCTGCTGCCTAGCACGGGGCGCTCGGCGCCGTGTTCCTACAGGCCTAGGGAGGACTCAACAAGCCTGCGGTTCAAACACGCTGCTGGGCCAAGGGGAGGGAATTGCTGGGTGATTGCAAAGAGGCCCGGAGGCAAACCTCAGCCCTCCCGTTCCTGCCTCACCTCTTGCACCACCTTGGCTCTGCTCAACAGGGTTGCAAGAAAAACAAGGTATGTGGGAGCTGCTCTGCAAGGTCTCCCTTAGCGGAGAGGTTGGGAGGGGGGATATCTCCTCCATGCTTCTTTAACCCCAGCTGGGTGGCATAAGGTACACGGATGCCCCCAAAAATCCCAGGAGAAGCCTTTGGGTGCCACAGTGCTCATGGGGTGCAAACCTGTGTTATCTCCCTGGCGGCACCTGGGCTCAGCTGCTGATCAGATCCCGTTGTCCTTGTGCATTAGGGAGAGGGCATCAAGCCTTTCCCCTTCTTTAACTTGCATCAAGCAGTGTTCATTTTGATGTGTTTCTTTGCAGGAGACCCACACAAGCAAGGGAGACAGAACAGGGGGCTTCTTTTACACTCAAGTCCTGGGGTCGGGGGTTTGAGGGAATATGTCAGCTGCACTTAGCCTGTCCTGTTCTTGGGCCAAAACCGCCCACACGTGCACCCAGGGCTCTGCAAGAAGCCTTTGACCACTTTTGCAACACCAGCTTGGTACTGTGGAGGGACAGATCTTGCACTGCCTCCCCCTCTTCCTGCTCCTGGGACACACTTTAATCCAGGGTTGTGGCAAAACACCGAACATTTAGCTTGGAAAAGACCTCCAAGATCATCAAGCCCAACCACTAACCCAGCACCACCAGGTCCAGCACCACTGTCGACCCGAGCAAGGGAGAGATTCACACCCCAAAGCGAGCGCTGATTAAGCAGGGCAGGGTAAGAGCACAGGAAGCCCTTTCGCAGGGGAGGCGGCGCAGGCAGATCCCAACACGTTGGGCTGCTGTGGCTGCTCCGCGGCTGAACATCAGGGGCTGCTGGCACAGAGTGGTGATGGAGACAGGGGTGGGGAGGCTGTGCCCTGGGGAGGTTGGCAGGACACCCGGCTGGGCTGGGAAACGCTGCTGCACCAGGGAAGTCCTGAGCTTATAGGGAACCACTCGGCAAGCACTTGAGGAAAAAAAAAAAGGGTTTAAAATCAGTGCTGTCACCAGCTTATTTACCTGGTGGTTTTGAATTGCTATGGGAGAGGCTGTCAGGCTTTGCTCTGAAGTGATGTAGTGCAAAGACCATTTAAAAGCTAATAAAGAGCAGCTTGTGATCTGTGCAGAAACACCTTGTCTATGAGACTTGAGTAGAAACATGCAGAAGCATAAGACACATACTACAGCTGTGGCAATGACAAGGGCAAAGATGCTCTGCCCTCTCCCCTGGAAGAGCAGGTAGGAGCCCGTTTGCTCTGACCCAGAGGCAGAGTAACCCTTGACCGTGACAGGAATAAGGGCCGTGGGCCAACTCAGAACATACACAAGGACAGAAATTTGCCTGATGATTCCCCCCTGCCCCATTCTCCATTACCTGATCGGATCAGAGGAAATAAACCCTGGCAGAGCCAGTTTTCACAAGAGTTCATGCCCTGACCCTGCCTCAACAGGGACTGGGTCCAATACGCTTCCCTTTTATCTATTTAAATAGGACTGCTTTTCCTAGTCCACTAACAGGCAAAACATGCCAAGTCCTGTGCTGCATTACTGATGTCTGACGTGTTTTAAAACCCCTAGTGAGCCTGGCTTTGCCCCAGCACCACCTTGCTCTTTGCAAAGATGCTTAGCTAGGGGCACTGTAGGAGGTTAGGCAGGCCACAAATATAACTGACATTGGGAACTTCTATCACAGATTCTATATCCAAAAGCACACGTGCACTGGGATTTAGGCATTCGCAAAATCGAAGTCTAGACATTTGTCTGTGGTGAATATAAAGGCTGGTTCAGCCTAATCTGAGTCCCCCTGCCAGTCTTGGCAGCTCACAAAAATCTGCAACATCTTTCTTTAAAAAAGAAAAAAAAATTGAAATCTAATCAGCAGACTAGTTTATCCCAAATTGAAGATGCCAGATGCCCCAAGATTAACTTTACCTGACTACCAACTTCCCAAAGCAGAAAAGCCTTTATTCCCCAGTATCTTCCCAGGTGGTCCCTATTCCTGAGCACAGCAGCACCCCTCTGCCCAGTGCAGCTGGGGTACAACTTGAGTAGTACTTTCAGGATGGGTGGGAGGTTTTCTCCCATGGCTTTCTCCCCATGTTAAGGCTCCTTGTTTTTTCACACAAGGACGTGTGAGCCTACACTCCAACTGAGCTCCCTTACGTGGAGCAGGAGGGAAGAGGAGGATGAGGAGGAAGCTGCACTGCGTGGCAGCTGGTATAGTGATAACCATGGCCTGGGGGAGCAGAGCAGCAAAGGACCACTGATGAGCAGCCAGGGCTTTCTGTCTCCACTTGGCCTAAATCCAGATTCGGATGGTGGTTTATTAAGGAAAGGCAGTACTGCTCCATTGCTCACCGAGTCAAACCACTCTCAAGACCATCCCTGCTCTCCCTTCACCCTTTGGGCTTCTGACACATTTGTCAGTGCACCAATTCCCAGGGAAGAAGTTTGTTTTAGTGCAGCAAACCAGGCCAACCAGTGCAGATGCAGACAAGCTCTCTGGCCACAGCTACAACCCTCAGCGTGCACCTCCCTCCCTTTCACCAGGGCAGTGTTTTCTCTGCTGAAAAGGTCCCAGCTCTGGGATGTTCCCAAAGCAAAAACCTTTGCAGAGTTCACAACCGAGGGGCTCACTGCCCATCTTTGTCTCTGCCAGCTTTGAGGAAGGAGAGAGGTGCAGAACTGCTCAGGGCATCCCCTTTGAAGGCCACAACAGTGCCAAGGACACAGCCCCAGACACGCTTTCAGCGCAGCACCTTCTCCCTTTCCTTCCCAAAGGCCTGCCAGGACTAGGCAGCTGTGCAGCAGCCCTTTGCCCTGGGTGGCACTCGCTCGGCATGTGCCGGCACGCACCGCGCCACGGGTGGCTCCAGATTCACCGCCGATGCCGCTGCCTTTCCATCACGGGAGAATCCTGCCCGGACGGGGCTGGCTGAGGTTTGTCAGCCAACTTTTTTGGCAGGGAGGTGGCGTTGCAGATGCCACTGGACTTCATCCATTCGTTTCTCCTCATTAGCAACCAAATCAGCTGCCTGAGCCAGGGTGCAGCCCGGTGGTGAAGGCAGCAATAATTAGCTGTGCTGGCAGTGCACCCAGCAA